CTGCCCCCCAGCCCGTAGATGTGACGCGGGGCTGCTCAGTTCGGCTTGCGCGGCTATTACGAGGAGTGTGGGGGCCGCCCACTGCTTCCTAGCGGAGCAGGTGACCGCGGCCCCCTCTGCCCCCGTTGTGCCGCGGCCGGGCGCTGCTGCGGGCGGGGCGAGGCGGGCAAGGCCAGCTGCGAGCGGGGCCCCGCGGGCTCGTGTCGGGCTCTGCAGGCCGGACCTGGCCCGCGGGCTGCAGGTTGCACACCTACCTGGGGATGGAGGAGCAAGGATTTCTCCCCTTTTTAAGCCTTTCCTGCTCTGGGAGGAGGATTGCTTTGTCTCACTTGCAGGTCTGAAACCCGTGGGTGTCACTGCCTAGGAACACTGTGTTGGGGCCTCGCTGAGCAACATGCACCTGAATGGTCGCGCTGCCTCGCCTTGCTGTGCCCCCCTCATCTCCTCTGCAGCGCTTCCCCCAAAGGAGCGTGCTTCTCCCACGGCCCCGGGAGAACAGGATTGCAATGACGCAAAGCCGCAGCTCTGGCAGCAGGTGAGTGTGGAGTGGGACCAAGCCACCCCTTGCCGAAGACCTGCTTGTGGAGAATAATGGAGCCTCAAGGCACTGTGACCTCACGCTGCCCCCAAACTAGATACCGCAGTCTAGTTCCCTGAACCAAAATGGTTTGACTTAGGCTGACGGGGAAAAACCTTTCTTCCCCTCAAAATGCAGCTGAAAATGTTTGCAGAAATGCTACTTGATGAACTTTCTTTCCATTTTAACATAATTAGCTCGGACATTAAACTCCCATTTGTTGACTGAGATGGTCGTGCATGAGATCAGTGGGAAAAAAACTGAAGTTGGTTTAATAAAATATGCAAGTTTCTTTATTCTTCAGCATACTGAAAACTTTGTGGTTTCTCATGAAAGAGTACTACTGTTTTAGTAAAAATATTCTAGATAAGCACAGAAACCTTATCGTAGCAAGAATAAGTCACAGTAGAGTCAAATGTAGTTTTCTTTAGGAAGTTTTATTTCTGTATGATTTGGATCAGTCGTGCCTAACCTTTTTCTTCCTCAGACCACACAGACAGTGTTCAGTCCAACTGTAGGCCCAATCTGACCAGCTGTGCAGGGGGGCTGGGAGTGGGGGCTGGGAGTGGCCCAGTCCCAATGAGGCCCCATGACCTGATCCAGCCCTGTGGCAGGGAGGGGAGTGGCACTGCAGCTCTCTGGCTGCATGGGGCAGGGAAGCTGGAAAAGGGCATGGCCAAGTTTCTTTATGCAAAGTTTCTAATCCCCATAAGCTGGAAAAAACCCTTCCAAGTATGAAATAACTTGAAAGTGATGCAGTGTGGGCTTCTGCATGTGTAGGCAGCATGAAACAATTACACTAAGAGGTGTGAGCTTCCCACCCCCCATTAATCTCATTGGGATGTAAGTAGGTTTTTGTGTTAAAAATGAGACAGAGATTTTCTAAGGAATTTAAGAGTCTTAGATGCCAAAGTCTAACTTAATTTCAGTGGGATGTGAGAACCTAAACACACATAGATGAAATTGTAAGAGTTTAAGTGTCAGCATTAATTACTGTATTTACTCAAATACAAGATGAGGTTGTTCTCCCCAACTGGCATGAGAAGAAAAGCCTGTCCATCTTACAATTGCATACAATGAAATCTTATCAAACACATTGTCCGTCGTTAAACTGCTGCTGAAAACAGCGTGTGCTTAGCACTAGGAACCAGCTATGAAGTTGATTAAATGCAACAAACACTGAGCATGACTCAAACACATGGCCCACATTGGGTAAGCATGATGATGGGGCCCTTTTTTGTGTGTGGGATCCTTAAGGAAAAAAAAAAATCAGCTGCTCTTCCAGGAGGGGATGAGCATGATGCCTGCAGGTACTGCAATACTAGGCCAGTGCTTTGAGAAGCCAGAGGAAACTCCAACCATTTTCCTACATTCCCATCATTATTTTTGCTACCTATGCCAAGAACAGACAGACACAGGTCATCTGAATAAGACAGATGGTAGTGCCTGTTAAGCACAGTCCCCTTCACCACCAACTCTTTTTCTAGTCATGGTGAGACACAACATTGCACCCAGTTTACCCAGAATCCCTCTGTAGGCCCTTCTTTCAGCCTGCTAAATATGATTAGCATGGCCCTGCCTTCCATGAAGTGAATTCAGATCAAGTTGCCCTGCTCTTCCCCATATATACATCTTTGGGGCTAATTGGCACATGGACCCTTTCTGGGGGGGCCATCTAGAGTATACACACATTGAGCAGTGCTGAGTTGTGTGGTCACCATGGTTTGAAATGCTGTTGACTCTGGTGGGGCCCAGCCCAGTGAACTGTATGGTAAATCACAAGCCTTTGGCTTTAGACCAATATCATGTGTAGATTGTACTGCAAATAAATGTTTGCTTCAGCAACATGTATACTAAAAGTGGAACAATAAAGAGAAGATTAGTAAGGCCCCTGTGCAAGGATGATATGTCAATTTGTAAAGCATTCCATTAAAAAAAGTTTGTACTACATATAAGAGGCTGTATCTACACAAGAAGTTTACTGCTAAGTAGACTAATTAGCTTTGGAGTAAAAGTCACATGTTTACCTATTAGGCTGGAGTAAATTAATTAGCTCTGCAGCAGGGTAGTACTTGTAAATACAAAGTTTTTTACTCGGTAGTAGCACAAGTTCAGATATTGCCCCAGCTGGGTGGGGTACAAGGGTGCTTTGGTGCAGGGACTGCCTACCAGCGAGCCCCTCTACAACATGTTGAACTGGGTGGGAGCAGCCCTGGGCTAGTATAATGACTCCCTGGGTCTCCTACCAGCTGGGGCTGCACTGACCCCACTCAACGTGTTGCAGTCCTGGATGCACATATAAGCCCATGCCTGAGAGCCAATAAACTGGCACAATAAGCATCACCACCTTAATAAGCATGTGTAGATGTGCTCAGTAGGTGCCAAAGTGCTGCTCAAAAATGTGTTTATGGAGTACCTGTACTCAAACTTGCAGCAGTTTCAAAAAAAGTTAAAATATATCTGTTTTGGATGAACTACATGTATGGGTATGCAAATTGCTACAGCCATGTTTAATTTCAAGGTTATTGTTTTAACATTTGCTCTTCCCTTCCATGAGGGGGAAGAAGCTGCCAAGGAGAAAAGTTGTGGGGGAAGCAGAAAGCAAAGGACTACCTGACCCCCTAGATTTAGTTTCATTGCTTTAGCAGTGGAAGGGGAACAAATTCAAGGCCAATCTCCAATAATTAGATACTATACATGGAAAATTGTAACAAATTTTAAAAATTTCCATGTACAGGATCTAATTACAGGGGGAGGGGTTGTATTATAATCAAGGTCATCTTCTAGTCAAGTAAATACAGTACTTATTTTAGTAGTGAAATGAATGGGTTGATTACTGGGAGCTGCTACAGAGAAGAATACATGGAAAAGATGCAGATAGGAAAGAGGAAGTGAAACAAAACAGCATCAGGATAGGATGAGAAATGAAGTAGTAGTGGTGCACCTATAAAAAAGTAAGTTCTCATTCAGCACCACTCAGTTGAAAGGGAAGGTGATGAATAAATACACTTCAGTTATTTCATCTAGTTCATATTATGCTACCCTTGATCTTTGTGTGAATTTACCTTTGTCATCAATGGGCATGTATTAGGTGTCAGGGAAGTATGCCATCCTAAATATTTACCCCATGTCCAATGAACCATGTTTGCAAATGAAACTTGCCCTGTCCGAATAAGTTTGGCACCTCTATAGCTTCTCTTTGAGTGAGGGTAGGATCTGCTTTCACCTTGAGTCAAAGTGTATACCACAGTTGCTGCAGAGAGCAGCTTTCCCTCTGGGGGTGTCAGTTTTTCAAGGTGCAAAGGGTCAGAAAGCAGCTGAGCCCACCACTTCAGAATTTTACAAGTGGACGGAATAAATCCTGCACTTGCAGACTGGTTGCTACCTTGTGGTAGGTCTTCCCACCTACCTGTTCCCTTCCCATCTCTGTATCTGTGCAAAGAGAGCCTTGTCTTGATATAGATCAGGGGTTTCCAAAGTTTTTATGCCGTGGCCCAGCAAACTGTGGCCCAGCAGTCACAGCCAACCGCAGCCAGAATTTTCAGCTGGCAGACGGGTAAGGGTACCCCCCACCCAAGGCGGAGGGGTGGGCCATGGGCCAAACACTGCACTGCTGCAGACCCTGCAGAAGGAGCCGCGGCCTCTCCACCCAGCTGTGCGGGGGGAGCCACAGTTTGCCAGTCCATGGCCACTTATGGTCTGGCAGCCGACCATGCTGCGGACCGGCAGCTGACCTGCCACAGCCTAGCACCAGGCCACAGCCCAGGGATTGAGAACCCCTGATATAAGTCAATCCCTTTTTAAGAATGTTTACCATTTAAATCAGAGTAATTATTTTAGGAGACTAGAGTTTTATGTATGTAAATTCAATACAAGCTAATACACCTGATTAGCAGAGTCTTCCTATGTCTGAAGAAGGGTACTTGTGCCCAAAAGCTTGCTAAAAACTTTTTTCCAACTGCTCAGCTGATCTAATAAAAGATGCATCTACCCAAAGAACCTTGCCTACCTGTGATTACTAAGCAGTGGCATACTGTGAGTCTCCGGCACCTGGGAGCCAATACTTACAACTGTGCACCCTGCATCCACAGCAGATCACTGGCGGGGGAAATCCCCTAGCAGCTGATTGCTGAGGAGGGGGCTGGGGGGGATCCCCCAGCAGCTTATCGAGCCCGCAAATGCCAGTGGCAAAGCTGGAAGTCCCACCAGGGGGCCGAGTACCCACTGAAGGGCCTGGCCGGTGCCCCCCCACAGGCTGGGCCCCCCCTGCCCTCTCATTGGTACACCACTGTAGCTAAGTGAGACAAGGGGGAAAATGCTTACAGCTAAATAAAGCTGAGTTGTACAGATCTACAACTTTGTCTGAGAACTCCCCAAATCAATGGGAGTGTGTCTAACAATTACACATTTTGTTAATCTCAGTGTTATCTGCAGCAGCATTTAAGTGTGGAAGAAACAGACTTAATAGATAACGGCATCAAAAATGCATGTTGGAGACATACATTGCTTGGTAGTATACAGAGAAGAAAATATTCAGGAAAATGCTGGGGAGACAGCATAAACATTTGGCAAAAATGATTTTGAAAGCTTTGAATCTATTAGAAAAATCAGAAAACCAGTAAGCACCTTGGAATACAATAGAAATCTTTAAAGTTTTCAATTTCCTTCCTTTGTTTTGAAGCAGAAAAATGCTGAAAATAAGTTACAGTGCTAATGTGAGCAATATAATGGTTTTGTTTTAAAAAATTGGCAAAAATTAATGTGCAGATTTGAAGTGATCTGGCCATAACCGCACATACTCTCCTTGGCTCCTGCACGTGGCTTCTGATTTGGGAGTGGCTCACACTATATAAAAGCTACCTGCTGAAACAAAAATAACCTTCCTTGTGAAAAAAATCTTCAGTGTCAAACAAACTCCACTATGAAGATTAAGAAGAAAAAAAGAACAAAGAAGATGC